AGTGATTGTGAAAGGCCAGCTGCCAAGGGGATACTCTGTCAAACCCTAGACCTGTTACCTGATGTGATTCTGCTCTATGAGTAGAACTTGAAGGGAAAAACGTTCAGGTGATATAAGGTGTCATAGACAGGAAATGGACCTTTTTTTTCTGAGACAGAATCTCACCCTGTCTCCTAGAGTAAAGTGCAATATCATCATCATTGCTCACAGTAACCTCAAACTCCAGGGCTCCAGCCATCCTCCTGCCTCAGTCTCCTGAGTAGCTGGGACTACAGGCACCTGCCACAATGCCTACCTATTTTTTTTTATTTTTAGCAGAAATGGGTTCTCACTCTTGCCCAGCTGGTCTTGAACTCCTGAGCTCAAGTGGTCCTCCCATCTCAGACTCCCAGAGTGCTAGGATTACAGGAGCTAACTAACCATGGTCAGACTCCCAGAGTGCTAGGATTCCAGGTGCTAACCATGGTGCCCATCTTGGACCTGTCATTAACCTTAATGAAGAGACCACCTCTCATGGCTCTAGCTGGGTTCAAAGCTGCTTTCTTAACCTATTTACTTTTGTCCCCTTTATCTCCTGAAACATCTCCACTCAGAGAGTCTCAGTTTTATTCCCTGAATCGAAGACTTCCCACAGTTAGAGTCCTCTTAAGAGATGGAAGGAGCCAGAGAGAGAGAGTGTGTGTGTGTCTTGGGTGGCAGCCTTCCCTCACCTGTCCACTTGCTTCTGTGAACCTCATATAGACAATGACAGGAAGAGAACTCCCCAGCTAGTTGGAATATTTAAGTTGATAATTGCAAAGACTAATGTTTTTCAAATCTGGAATAAGCAGAATGATGGTTATTCCCCATAGTCACCACCCCTGAAATTTCCCACCATTGCTTAGATGATGATTCTTCGGGCTTTGATCTTAAATTCAGTAAGTTTTAATGGACAACCTTAAATGTGGCTGTCATGATTTTTCAGTTCTGTTCCATCATCATTTGGAAACATCATGTGACTAGCAATTTTTTTTCAGTGCTTCTAAGGCATATGGGCCTCTTAACTATGTGCAAATAAAGTTCCCATTTTAGTGTCTTTCCAATATTTGGATTTTGCCAAGAGATATATTTTTTGGTGTCACACTGTCTGCTTTCTATGTCCGTTTTCTCTTCGTTAGTCTTACAACTGAGATAATAAGCCTGGGGCTGGTGGCTCAGGCCTAGCACTCTGGCAGGCCGAGGCTGGTGGATTGCTCGAGCTCAAGAGTTGGAGACCAGCCTGAGCAATAGCAAGACCCCATTTCTACTAAAAGTAGAAAAACTAGTCTGGCATTATGGTGGGCTGTAGTCCTAGCTACTCGTGAGGCTGGGGCAAGATGATGTCTTGAGCCCAAGAGTTTGAGGTTTCTATGAGCTATGATGGCATGACACTCTACCCAGGTGACAGAGTGAGACTCTGTCTGGGGGGGAAATAAAAGGCAAAGAAAAAAACCCAGATAATAAGTCTCATTCTTCATGGCTAGAGAAGAGCCTTCCTTCTTAATCTTTCTTCTCTGGCTTTTGAGAAGTGAGGAGGAACAGTCCAGCCCCAGAGCCAGGTAAGATCCCAGCACCTGTGGAAGAGTCACATCCTCTTTTTTTCCCCACATCTGGGCATCCCATTGTCCTGCCACCTTCATGGAGAGTAGTTGGTTGGGCAAGATAAAGCTCATGTCCTTGTGGCCTACGTTACTGGAACCTTCTAAAAGAAAACATTTATACATCTTATATAAGCCTAGGTACAAGATTCTCTATTGAAAGCAGGAGGCCAAGAGTCATTCATTTGTGGGCTCCTTAAACAGAGGAATAGGAAGAGCTATTTGGATTAAAATAATTTTATTATGATGAGCTTCTCAGTGGGTTCCAGGTTACTGTGCACTTTTAGTTATTAGTGATCTCCTGTGAGGCATGTGACCCATTGCACAGACCAGATACCATGAGGAATTGCTGATGTGAAAGCAGTGGCCATCCCTCCAAGAATAGGGGTGCCCCTGACCCCGTTCAGTTATATCTTTTTCAGATAAAGATCTGAATGTCCCATTCTGATGGGTGGACAGATCCCCAATTCTAGAGGACTGTTTTACTTGTGGAGAAAATACCCTATAATATTCTTCAGTGCAAATTGGAAAATAATTTAACAGTTTTGCTTTGAAGCACAAACTTCAACTCAACATGCTGTTGGTATTTTCCTGTATCACATCAGTGTTGACAATTTCTGTAGCTCTCCTGATAAAAACTTTCTGAACTAATTACATCCTTGTATGTCCTGTTTAAGCAGATAATACCTGGAAAGCATTTGTGCAGGTCAAGCCTTTTTCTTCCCATCTTCTTCTTCAGATGGCTCGCGGCAACAGATTCTTTTTGTTAGTGTTCAATGGCCCAGAAGATATTTTCATGCATACTTTGTAAAATGGAAAATTAATTTGTAAACAGGCATTTGAAACCCTATAACCTAATGATTATTGTGAATTTTGATTTTTTGTCTTTTAATTCTATTCTGGAAGTTAGCATTGGAATAAAATAGGCTATGGTAATGACATTCGCTATTTTGGGCATTTAGGAACCTGTTTTGTTTACTGGAACAATGAGGAAAAACCTGGATCCCTTTAATGAGCACACAGATGAGGAACTCTGGAATGCCTTAAGTGAGGTAATGTATAAAGTACAATTATCTTTACTTTGTTAGCATATGTATATGTACATTTATAGCATTGTAGGTAATTAAGGGGAGCTTACTGGTTAAACTAACTCTGTTCACTACCAGAGAACATTGAGGATACAAATATATGTGAAGTGTGTATATTGATGATAATGAAAACCATTCTCGTTTTAATTCTCTTTCTGTATTTCCTCCAAAACAGCCAGATATGTTCTTACTTGTCTATAGCACATAAACTAGAAGTTGTATTCATGGGTTCAAATTCTTCTATTTACTAAGCTGTCCTGCAACATCGATTTTATAGCTCTATTCTGAGGAAACATCTCTTAAGTGAAGACAATAATAGTTTTTCATTATTAACTGAAAGGTGAACGAGATCATATTTGTGAAACGCTTTGACGTTTTATAAGAAAGTGTTTATATAAAAGGAAATTATATACTTAGAATGTGACAATTGGCAATCTTAATTGGCAAACAGGTAACTTTAATGATGCAGAGTGAAGGCAGATAACAGAATCCTGTAGCCTTTGCTAGTTTTTTATGCCAATACATTGATTTCTAGAGGATTTTCTATTATTTGTGTAATCGTCCTTTAGTCCACTTCTTGGAATTTCTTTGCCTTTGCATGAACAGGATTTTGATTATTAAGATGCTGTTTGTATATTTTGACACTGATGAATTTTCATGTTCACTCTACTTCTGTGAATTAAATTTTAAGCTACTTCATGATGGAAACCTTATTGCAAAGTCCTAGCTCAGTCGTGTACTTTTTAAAAAGTAAAATAAACATATATTAATCGGTTGATCTCTTCATTTGTGAGAATTGTGGCTGATTTCTTTAAAAAAATAAAAAAGTAACAGTCACAGTGAATAGTTCCTCACCATTGTTATTTTGAATGCCGTTGTCACTGTTGTCCTTGCAGGATTGGCCCTGCAATCATTAATTTACGGATGAGTTTTGGCTGTGAGCAAGCACATTTATCGGCCTGACGGTTTCTTGCCAGCAATTCTTGTTTCTGAAGGCATGGCAGTGCCAGGTCCTTACACTGCCGCCCTGCTTTGCAGCAGTTGTGGGGAGTTTATATTCTTAAATTGCGTGAATTACTTCTACTTGGATGTCTGTTGACCTCTGACTCCATGTGAGTCTTTCTGCAGTGAAATTCTGAAAGATAAGAAGAGGGGAAACAACCATCCAATAGGAGGAAAAATAATTTGACCCACTTCACTTGCTCTCACAAGATGGACACGTTTAATAGTGACATTGTGATACACCCTAATAGAACAGGAATTACTAGTATTTTTCTATTTGCTTCAGACCTTCAGATTTCTCACCACAGATTCTCAGATAGGAAAATTAGAAACACATTGTTCCATGGACAGTGAAGAAATGTTAATGGGAAGACAATTCTATTAAAAAGCGTCGTAGAAACTTGGCTCACATGTATGTCATCGGTAGTAGCCAAAATTAAAATTTTGTCACCTCTCAGAATGCTGAACACGATGAGGTGATGGAGGTAGATAATGAACGCTGAGGTGCACCTTTATTTAGACTGCCCTGGGAGCTTTCAGGAAATGGAAACAACAGAGCGTGTGCTCGGAGGCCTGGCTGAAGAGTGTAGGGAGTGGTTTCCACGTAGTGCTCTGGAATTGACCTCAGAGATTTAGTGGTACCTCTTAGAAGTGAGAGATGATCCATCCTTGTCTTTCTCTGGAATTCCTTATGACTTGATAGGTCTTTCAATGAAGGATTTGGTGAGGTTTCTAAAAATTAGGAAAGCAACTTTGTGGTTATGTTGTGATTCCAGCTGTTCTCAATCACAGATGTAGTCTGGAATCTACACCTAAGAAAGTCACCAGACATTACTTATTTAGGGATAATAAAACAATAAATAGTGGAGTTTTTTTCCTCTTTTGGTTTTTCTCAATTTTCCAAAATTTTCTGTAGTGCACTTATCCCCTTTTATTATCTGCAAGGGACTGAAAGGGCTACATGCTCGTAGCAGAGATGGAACACTGAAGTTTTCACAGTAGCGACTGGAGTCTCATCAGCACAGGTTCATGCAGGCTGGGATCGTTCTGATAGGTCAGGGATTCTTCCCCTGGAGTCCTGGGGACCTCAGGGGCGTCTATCAGAACTTCATCCCTGGGAACTGTATGTATTAAGTTGTGTGTGTGTTTATCTGTGGAGACATCAGTCAAAGGATTCACCATGGCCACTCTAGTGCCTTGCAGGTTCCTCTGGATTTCTCTGTCGAAGTCTGC